ACCCTGTATCACTTTTCACATTTTAGCACAAAAAGGTATCGCCCTTCCCCCTCCTTTCCCAACAAAAATAAAAGAAACAATGCTTTGTTCCCTACCCCCCCCCCACTCCTTCTCGCGCGCGCGCCGGCGCCGCCAACCCCGCGGGATGAATGACAACATTTTCGACACAGTGAGGAAGTTTTCGCCACAGCACCACCTAAAACTCTATGACCGCGCGATCCCGTGGACGACGGCGCCCCGCGCGGCCCGCGTCGCATCGCCGCGCAAACGACGTATTCTTCCTTTCGTCGGCGGGCCGGGTCGGCCGGGCCAGAGGGATGACGAATCGGGCGGGGACCGCGCCAGGAGCGGCGTGAGTCAGGTCGGGAGGCCTCCAGGACCGCAGGACGCGGCCCGGCCCGTGCCGCCGTATTGCACACCGGCGGGGCGGGGCGGGGCAGGGCAGAGGCGACGACAGGAGCCAATAGACCCGCCTGGAACTAACATCCCGTCCGACCAGACATCGACGTTGATAAAAATGCGAACCAAGTTGATAAACTTCGACCAACACACTACCAGTCACGTCTGGCATGTAGGTCGTGTGTGTCAGTGTGTGTCAGTGTGTGTCAGTGTGTGTGTGTGTGTGTGTGTGTGTGTGTGTGTATGTATGTGTGCGTGTGTGTGTGTGTGTATGTATGTGTGCGTGTGTGCGCGCGCGCGCGCCTGCCCCACACAACAAAACGCGCGTGCTGCCGCCCATCCCAGCCGCATCCAACCGGACAAACTTGTCTTTAGGTCGGAAATTTAAGTTTTGCTGGCTCCCACCGCGATGGCCTGGCCAGTGAGGGGGCTCGCCCCGGCGTTGGCCCGGCTCGGGACCCACCGCGCGCCAGCCCGCGCGAGAGGCGAGGCGAGTCAACCCGGCGCGCCCGGGTGTCTTGCGCAAGGAGGGAGAATCTTCAGAATAAATCAAGAAGAGCCCGGCCCGGCTAAGCCCTGCCCGGGGGCCGCCCCGCCCCGCCCGGGGCCGCCACGCCGCGACACGCCGCAGCCCACATTGGCGGACGCGTCGTCATTTCCGTCTACACACATAATGGGGGGAGGGACGGGGGCAGGCTTGCCGGGCGGGGCGCGGTAGGGTAGGGCCGTGGCGGGTCGCGCATGTTAACTGTCGTCCGTATAAGAGCAGCTGCCTGATAGGTACCACGCTTAATGTTCACGAAAGGTTTTTTTTTGTGCTATCATGGGCAGGTGTTTTACAAAAAAGTAGTACATTTTTGTATACAGTTGTTTTTTTACACATCATTGCGGGGCGTTGATCTGTACAAAATTTTGCACACTGCATTCTGCACGTATCACTTTTCACATTTTAGCACAAAAAGGTATCGCCCTTCCCCCTCCTTTCCCAACAAAAATAAAAGAAACAATGCTTTGTTCCCTACGGTGG